CATCAATTAAATTGCGAGTTCTTTTATTTTGTGTTTCATTCCTCCTTTCATCAGAGAAATTTCTTTCATCGGTATCGGGATTATCATAAGTATTTTCTTCATGAGTAGTTTGTACTAAAGACGAGTTGTCATTTGTATAATTTTTTGAGTTATTTTGAAGTCTTTGTACCATATTTATCAAACCATTAAGATTTACAATAGCTTCTTTAGGATCAGTCCATGCTTGCGTATTCATATTTATATTCGACGTCATTTATTCTTATTGATTTGATTTCACAATTAAGCACGAGAGCTTTGGAATAATTCCTCACGTGTTCGTACACGTGTTTATAAGTGCACTGTATAGATGATAAGTGTAAGAATCAGTAAACGATTTTTATATACGTCCTATCACTAGGTAGTGAAAGAGAAGAATGAATACATGCTATTTGTTTTAGGATTATAATTCTTGAGAATTAATGTAAGAATTTTTGTTCCTTGTAAACTTGTATTCCTCTTGCTAATTTTGTTAACTTGAATATTTTGTTTTGATAATACTTACTATGGTCTGTATGAGGTGTTGTAAGTGAGTCTGAGTTAGCCGTATTACAATACTTTTTATCAGATTTCTCTGTAAGATGTTGATTGCATAGACTTTTCTGTTTGATTTGTTTCTTACATTTATTGATAAAGCATAGTTGTTGTTTTGCCTTGGTTTTACCCGAATTTTTCTTGGACTTATCGTTAGCTGATGATTTCACGGTTTTCTTTTGTTTCATTTGTTCGTTTAACACAGTTCTAGAATAAATGGTAAAACTAAATAAAAAGTCATGATTTCAATACTGTTCATATGAGAACATAGATAAAAAATAAACATGTTAGTCTATGCAATGAATTTACATTTTTTACCTGAGTTCTTAGTAAGAAATTTAATAATAGAGCGAGATAGATTATTTTGTAAATACGATATAATATGCTTTAATTCTAAAGTATACTAAGTTTTTTATAGAGTAATATACATATGCGTGACTAGTTCTACTCAGTATTTACTTCATTTTTTCTTGGTTTTAAAGTGTACTTTTTTTTGCCATCTAAATGTTTATATCAATATAACAAGAAAAGAAAAAAAAACCTCCTTGTAAGATAGAGAAACGTGTTGCATATGCTAAATTATTTTGTCGCACAAGGATAAGGGTAGACTAGATAAATATTGGAGAAAGTATAAGAAAAAAGAGAGAGAATCGACAAAATAATGCATCTAGGTATTTTTTCTCCGTTCTTTCTCAGTAATGCAAATGATGGATTTATGATACGAAGAGTCATTCACATACTCCAAATAAGCATTTTAATTTCATAGAAAATATGCTCACAGTTTATTTTAAAAGATTATTAAATTTGCATATTATATCTCTCTTTATCATTCGACATAAGGTTACATTGGAACTATGTTAAAGTAGTTTAGAAGACGAAGATTATGGCAATATAGATATATACGTTTTTAAGATTCTAAAAAATAAATTTATATTAACTATACGATAGGTGTGGGCGTGGGTGGGTGTGAGTGTGGGTATGGGTGTTGTTTGTGTGTGGGTACAGAAGAAGAAGAGATATATCCCATGTAAAAAACAAGTTATCGAAAATATGATTAAAATCGATTTTTCGTTGAAAATAAAAAAAAACTGATTATTGTGACGTTTCCTGATTAAATATGAGCAAAATTTCGATTTTAATAGATTTTTCTGTGAAAAATTGATTTTAATCTTAATACAACCGTTATAAAACTGATTTTAATCGGTTCCTTGTAGGAAAATCCGTTTTCATAAGTTAAATCATAGAAAATAACACATTGTCATCCATTTTCTCAACATTAATTGGTTCTAATCTTAAAAAACAATCATAGAATTGATTTTAATCGATTTTTTATTAAAAGTCGATTAAAATCAATTAAATCATGGAAAATAATATATTTTAATCTATTTTTCGATATTAATCGGTTTTCATCGATTTTTATACACAAAATTGATTTCATCAATTAAACCCCAGAAAATAATACATTATAATCGATTGGTAGGTTATCATTTTCCACAAATCTGGTTCCCAGAATACATCCACAAGTAAAATCCACAATTGTGGATAAATATCCATGATTCCATCTAGCCGTGAATAATTAGGGATTTTAAATCGTGGATTTCACAATTTAGGAAAATTTTGTGAAAACCATTTGTGACCGACCATATAGACCAATCTTCAATCTCCTATCTGGACACCAGAGTCCTCTGATACAGTGACCACACTCCTACTTAAGGATCTGGCGACCAAACTCATTCGACTCAATGATCGCGATTCTATCCAGGGACGTGGTAACCAGATTCATGTAACACAGTGACTCGANTCCAGGGACGTCGTAACCAGATTCATGTAACACAGTGACTCGATTACTACTTAAGCAGCTGATGACCAGATTCATGTCATTCAGTGATCGCAGTTCTATTTCGTAGGTTATCATTTGCCCAGAATTGTGGTGCCCAGAATCGGTCCCAGGAAAAATCCCTAAATTGTGAAATCCACGATTTAAAATCCCTAATTATTCACGGCTAGATGGAATCATGGATATTTATCCACAATTGTGGATTTTACTTGTGGATGTATTCTGGGAACCAGATTTGCGGAAAATGATAAACATTCTAATCGATTCTGTCAGCAGTAATAGATTTCAACTGATTTTCCAAAATTTAATCGATTTAAATCAAAAAACCACAAGAGATAATAGATTTTAACAGAGTTTTAGAGTAGAAATTGATTTTAATCAATTTAACAGCTACAGAAAATAGTTTTCATTTATTAAACTACGAATAATTATGTTAATTGATTATTATGTGTCTAATCTATTAAAATCTTTTAAGTTGATCAAAATCATAAAAATCAATTATAATTGTGAAAATCTTAATCGATTTTAATCACAAAAGAGAAAAACACGTTTTTCACGAATATCTGGCTATCGGCCGAAGTTCTCGACCTTTTTTTTGGAATCCTCGCAGCGACAAATAGTGACCCAACAGTAGAGCAGCCTCTGATACTTCTCACATAGCACTCGCCACGGTATACCTCGATACTCAGTCATTCAAGCGAAAACACTGATGATTCAGATTAAAATCGATTTTTAATACAAGTCGGCTGAACTCAGATGATAATTGAAGAAAATCCGTTAAAATCGATTTTTTGAAAAGTAATCAATTTTAATTTTTTTTTTTCGATTAAAAATCTGATTAAAACCAGATGAAAATCGTACCATTTTAATCGATTTTTCTATGATGAAAAATCGATTAAAATCAGATTTTTTGCCTCTTATTTTTACATGGGATAAACCCACACCCATACCCATACCAACACCCACACCCACACCCTCAAGATCATCAAATGCATTCTTTTTTGTTTGTTTTTCTTATGGATTTTGAGTGTCTTCATTGGTTTCATATTTTAATGGGTGGGTGTGGGTATCTGTTATACTCTCAGACACCATACCCACACCCACATCCATTCACACGGCTTTATCTGTTTTCAAAATAATATTGAGGGAAATGAGTGAAAGATAAACATAATGTGGACTTTGTCTTTTTACAGGCAAGGGGAGAAAACTGCTTTGTCGTATTTCATTTTTGTTGGAAAAATACAGTTTCCCATTGCGCGCGCTGTAATCAATTGTTTTCATAGGAGACAATGATGAAGCATGCTGAGTTTATCTTAATCGTCATAAAATAACGTAAAAATAACTGTTATTCACTACCCACATTTTTCGCTCTGCCAGTGATACATGTTATCTATTGAAGACAATTGCTATGTCGATGCAACGAAACGAAAGAACGAATATTTAAATTTCATATCTTGCAGATAGCGCGTATCAAGAACAGAGCAAGAAAGATCAAATATGAGTAACTGCGAGTAAGTGACTCTTATTTCTTTAGTCTGTAATGGCTCTTATAAGACGATTGAAAAAAAAAGAAACACGTAATGATGTAGCACAAAAATGGAAAAAAACCATAGGGTCGACGGAAAATGGTTATTTCCATGATGTCGTCTGATAATATATACATTGTATATATATACATGTATATATATATATTCTACTAAATACGTATGTCTCAATACGCAGTACTTGACGACTAACAGCAGTTAAATATATTATTCTTATTATGGATGAAGATGAGAATACTCTTTCTATCGGCGATAATGTTAACAACTCACAGTCATCATTTAACAATCATGACGCATTTCAAAACGGTATGTTTAATTATAAGTATATATATATATATATATCATGCAGATACACACATGAAATTGATTCTAGATGACGAACTGAGGCAGATTCGGCAAGATCCATTGATCGACTCGGCCATGTTTAAAGCGTATGAACTTCTACGCAAGACTGCACTCGATCACAATCTTACACATGAATTGGCTGTTCCTCGAACTGTCATCGTTGGCGACACGTCATCGGGAAAGTCGATGCTTGTTCAAATGTTTCTTCGATTTCCATGTGCATTCTCACAAGCTAATGTTGGTACTCGATGTCCCGTACAATACAAACTGCGCCATGATCCAAATTTAGCCGATGGTGAAATTCGCTTTATTCAACCAAAACACTGGCGAGCTGAAGAGCTCAGCAAAAATTTACAAATGGAAATGGTACGTATTGAAAATGACTATAAGAACGATGGTGGTTTTCGTCTGGAACCATTTGTTGTTGAAATTGCCAGCAAGCATTACACGGACTTCGAAATTCTTGATGTGCCTGGTCTAGTCAGTGGTGATCGAGATCCAAACAAACGAGCGGCTGTTGAACGTATTACAGAATATTACGTACGTGATCCAAGCTTTATGATTGTCCAACTTAAAGAGGCTCAACAATTAACCGATAACACATACGGAACACGACGTATTGGTGAATTGTGCACTGCTGAGCCTGCTCATTGGGGTTCAAGTTTTCCTGCTCGAAAGGATTATGCGCAACACACAATCACAATCCAAACGAAATTCGATGCATTTATGCGCGAACATGACAATGGCACGGCAGCTAACGAGGATATTCGGACACGAATCAACAATTTTCCAAATACTTTTTTTACCAACATGGTTTTTGATTTGTAAGTATTTTGTGTGGAACATGATTTAAAAGTACTGTTCATGTACGTAGAAGTCGGAATGGGACTCACTACTCAGCCTCTCTTTTCCCACAAACACTACAGACGCGTTCCACCATCACAGACCTTGACAGACACCATAGCACCATCTCGAAATCTTCCTAACCCTACCATTCATCACAGATGCGACAGTCATCATAGCAACATTTGTCTGTCTCCAGAGCCTACGACGTGGGTGTAGGTGGATGTGAGTGTGGGCGTGGGTGTCATATCTTTCTTGACCCATCCACACCCACACCCACACCCACCCCACATCCTCAAGATATTTGTGGATATGTGCCACCACTCTATTAGTCACTATAACTCTTTCGTGTTTCATATCTTAACCTGGCCGACATTTTGCTTGGAGTCTTTCCCTAGTTTAGTATGCCAAATTAGGGCACAACACATTTTCCTTCGACGGTTACAAGCATTTATTTGTTTTCTCTTTTGTTTGATGAAAAAGGTACAACTTTACTGAAAAATCATTTGAAGACAATGTCAGATATATTACTCGATTACCAGAAACAGAAAAAAAGGAAGTTGACGATTGGATCAATCGTATAAATGCAAAAGCAGGTACAAATGATGCTCGATACCTATTATTCAATCAACAATATCGTCCTTTAATTGGCATTGACATTGTACGACAACAAATTCAAGAATTGTGGTTACGAGTTCGTATATAGCCAACTCTAGTACATTTCGAATCAAGGAAAATAACAAAATTTTCTTCTTGTTCGATTTAGGCATTTCGTGCTGCTCTTCCGAGATTATTAGATACGATCAATCAACTTATTCAAAAATGTTCAAAAGAATTCGATACAGCTCTATTTAATCTTGAACAACAAAATCCACGTAGTGTGCGTAATAATTATCAAAAGTATATCGAAACATTTAGAACAACAATCAGCGACTATGCAGCCTATCGAGCTGAAGTCAATGCATTGTTTCCACTGGAAGATTATGGACGAACGTATGCACAAATCGAAAATGAATATAATGAATGGAATCGTAAACAATCACTTACATGGCGTGCCTATTTATCATCTGAACAGCTGAAAGATATTCCGAATGGACAAGTATTAGCAACACTGAATTTGCAGTATGTCGGCGCCCGACATTTTGAACGCTTGCGACAGGTAAAGTGAAAGCAAGTTTTTGAATGACTCTTCTCGATGAGTTTGATATAACCGTATTAGTATTTTTATTGACAGCAGTATTCAAAAGAGAACCTAAGTTTATCATTAATTTCTCCGATATTGCTACAGATTATTGTTCTATTTTAATCAGAAAAATCTGAATAAAATACTGCAAAAAAATAATCGTATCTTATTTTGTTCAGTAAAGTGAGGATAAAGAAACTTTTGTAGACTAGAGTGTAGGTTGCTAAAAAGTTTAACACTGGAAAAGATTTTAAGACGTTGTATAAGGCAAAACAATTATCACAAATAGGAATCTCGTACGGATTTTTGAAAACATAAAAGATCTCAAGAAGAAATAAGCTGAATTTTTGATCACCTAGATTGCTTTGATTGCAAGTATCTTTTTCCCTTTGGAAGACTTACAGTTTCTTATTTCTGATCAACAGTAGTGGTGTACATGTATCAATTAATTACTTGAGGGTGTGGGTGTCTATTATACTCTAATACACCCACATCCAGACCACATACTCATATCCAAACAGATTCGAATATAAATTATGGTTTCTTCAAATTCCTAGAGCTCCCTGCATGATCAGTCGATCCTATGCGATTTAATATTTACAGATACTTATCATAACATCAAATAGTGAGTAGAAGTTGTAGCCTGGATTTAACCCTTACTTTCTTACTGATACTTCTTGTAAATATTCAAGATTGAATATAGGTTTTCTATTCTAAAGTTAAACGAATGTACACAAAAAAACCTGCTTTTTCGATTGAATATTTTGAATATTTTCACCTTCATGATCTTCATTTCTTCTTCTCCTCTTTGCTTTGTTTTTTGTTAGTGCCATATATTGTGTGAATTGGGAGTTTTAACACTGGTAGGAATCATGCAGGCCAGTTTCTTACCATAGGAACTGGTCATTAACTTTTTCTTGATATTAAGTAATATTTAGATGAATTGATTACATCTATCTATTTTATTACAGGTCTTTTCATACATGGTACTGTCACATGATGCATTGAAGCGAGAACGCGATTGGTTTGAATCGTCACAATCATTATTGTATGGTGGTATAAGTGATTATGAAAATACCGAGAAAGCTGTACGTGAATCACTTTTCACTTTGATTCGTGAGACCTTTCTAATCGGAATCTGTTGGCTTACACAAATGTATACATTTCTTACGGATCATTTTTCCAATCATGTAAAATCTGCTTTGCTCAACACGAAATTTTCCCATTTGGAAGAACATGTCAAATTTTTAAGTCTGGTCGATCTTGAATATCACACAGTTACACGTAAATTTATTCGAAATGCTGTCACAGCTATTAGAGATGCACGATATGCCAAAATGGTGTATGCTGTTCATAATGTCTGCGGTACATTGAAAAATCTTGTCGGCTCATTTTCAGCTATGGATATGATCAACAGAAATAGTAATGATAATGACGATGATAATGATAATGATGAAAATAGTGATAGCTTCGGACAAACAGCACTTAAGATTGCTCAAGACGCTATACCAAAAATGATGTCAGGTGCAAATCCAGGTGTGGCCGTTGCAACGTCAGTTGCTTCCGTTTTAAGTGGGAAAAAAATCCACTCAACTTAATTTATGCCACAGGAAAATTTCTTACAAGTAATCGAAATCCGCAAACAGTCACCTATTTGCCGCAAACGCGTGGTACTGTCGGTGAATTGTATACAGCTGTGCGTGGTCAGCTTCTTCATGATATTACGACGAACTTTTTCGCCAATCTTGTTCTCGAAATTCAACAATATAAATCCATACCAATTGCAAATTCGCTACAAAATCGTTTAAACCGCATGTCGGATAAGGATATCGCTCGTATGGCCAATATTGAGATTGAAAGTAGTCGTCAAAAAGTTCTTACTAACCATGAAAATATCAAACAGCTTGAACAAGCACGTGATGCTATCGAAGAGGCGAGTGCACTTATCTGTCATAAGAATGTGGACGACGACTTATCGAATTCGAACAACGATATCAAAAGACGCGTCCGAGACACACATGCACATACACGTAGCAAGCGCCTACGTGATATTGAGAAAAAATTAAGAACACGTCATCGACATAAGGGAAAACCAGGACAAACAATTATACAACAGTCGGATGATCGACATTCATCAACTGGTGTTGTCAGTGATCACAGTCAAGTTATGGTCGATTCGGACTCAGACAACGATAATAACGAAGATGAAACGACCGAAATCGAAGATGAATATGAACTTATGCAATACGATGATAAAACATCGAGTGAAACATATTTACTAGGCATATTCCGAAAACATGACCAAGAAGATCTCGAACTTGGATTTCTTACTGGAGATTCACTGATAGCTGATGTGAAATTTGTTCAACAACGTCAACACCAACAACGAGAACACCAGCTCTTTTCTGCTCCAAATGTTGATTTAAATTCAGAGACGATAGAACATGGTTTGGAACATATAGGATCCGATTTTGCTAGTACAACTTCAACGTTTCTACAGCACGACAATGTTTCAACTTCCACTTTATCAGACGACGAAGATCGGAAGTCTGTTGTTGAAAATCCGGTCACCACGAAAGGTTCGTTCTTCGCATAGAAATGTTGGTAAAACAACCCTAATTAGTCATCTAGAAAGATCGAGCACCATTTATATCTAGTACAAGTAGTGAAATAAATGTTTATCTAACTGAATATTCCTGCTAGTTTTCACCATGAGAATTTAGAGTTGTTAAATTAAAAGATACTTGATTCGATTTTATAGGATAATCTAGTGACATTTCCAGTTCATATCGATCAGTAAGAAAAGTACGATAAAAAAAATACTTAGTAGACCTTGTTTAATCTCCGTTAGAATATAGGAAAATATATCGAAACTGAAATTAAAAGATTGGAAGTACAAGTGACAGTTATGTGATGCTTAGAGATTCGATTGGCGATATTCCACAGTCGTCACTTTCCCCGTATATTTTGCATTTAATTCGGTTCGAACAGAAAGAGATCTGAAACAAAAGTAACGAAAAAAAACGATATTTTAAGCGAAAACATTTCCCCGAATTACACTTTCTCTAGCTCTCTGGTTTCGCTCATTGTTTCGAAAAGTTCGAAACAAAAACAAATGAACTTTTTAATCATGCTTTATCTCCTTCGACTTGCCCAGGGTCATTTGAGGCATCTGTATTTTGTTTCGAGCATCGATTGTGATTTTTGTTTGACCTGTTTCTTACATGAAGCTCAATAGGAAATTACAGAAAGACGGGAAAGATCAAAGAGAAGAAATAAACGAGACATCAGATATCTGTTTACCCTGAAGAAAACCCCTCAGTGTTAGTGTATTACAGGTACTTGTCAGCAGCGGATAGTCGACAAAATAAAATCACAAAGAAAGTCGATCTTGAGCTGTTTATTTGAATATTTTGAATTAACTAGTATCACTAATTTTCTTCTTTACGGTAAATATAATGTTCCAATTAATTCTACCTTTTCATTAGTTCGGACTATTTTCTTCTAAACGCCACATTTATGATTCGATCAAACTTTGATAATAATCCTTGTTAGTTATCTCTCATATTCACAATATAGTTTAACTTGATGAATGCATGTGAGATTTAGATCAATTTCCAGAAAGAAAGACTTCAGGATAGCTAATATAAATTAACCCTTCAAAATTAATCAATTTCCTAATTTTAAAAGACATTTAAAGCATTAGAAATGACCTTTCACCTTTTGATTCGACTACAAAACCCACTTCACTATGTTTAGTAAAGAAAAAATGCATTTTTCACTTCGAAACTGTTTGTTTCGTGCTGTGATATTCTCGAAAGTGTTATGAAAACTATAAAGATGTTTCTCGAGAAATTGCGACATGTTCTCATAGATAAACTGAAGTCAACGCTTGTTTTCCAATCTGATATACAACTTAATATTCGACTTTGTTAAGTCAAATACTAACGCATATACATATATTACTTAAGAATCTATATTAACTTTTCTAAACAAATTGAACTATTTTTAATTTTGTTTACAGGCACAGAATTAAAGCTGGCCACCAACAAGCAGTGATCTTTCCATCAACATTCAACATATGACTTAATTAAATAATCAAGAATTTACATTAAATTTCAAGACATGATGAACCGATACCGAAGATTTTATCTTTATTATCTACCAAAGCACGACATTGAAATAAAAATATCGAA